GCTACTTGATTTGTGTACATTTTTAAAATAACAGACCTCTGAAAACAGGATTGCTATTATTAGCATAACTGGTTTTTCCTTGTGAAAGCCACCGATCACATGTGCTTCTTTCCTGCGAGATGTTTTATTTTTAGGTCTGAACATACGCAGGTTTTTGCCATGCCCTTTCAAAGAATTTGTATCAATGCCTCAGTGATTGTTTCTGAAAATCTCATTCTGCAGTATTGTCTTTTATAGTATAGATGTTTTTTAACGGTAATTTTCTACATCCCTAGGGTTTCTAAGATTTTTTTTTTTACAATCTTTTTTTTTCCACATGCAGATTTTCTTTCTAATTAATAGCAAATCTACTATTTAAACTGACAGAGATGGCTTTTAGGATAGATTGGCAGGAAAGCTAAATTATTACTGTTTCATCTCTCCCATAGGAGACAGTTGTATGATTTATGTTGAGATGCATATTATTTTAATGCTGATTGCTCAGTGTCTTTATGTTGCTAAAACAATTTTCATTGTGTTTCACAAGTGTTTCACTATAGCTTTTTGTTTCTTTTAAAGTAACTGTAACATTACAGTTATGTGCCTCACTGTTACCGAAGACAAAACATTACACCACCTATGAGGTGATTTCATGAGAGATGCATGACATCATTGACATAAATTTGACAAGACTGTGTATAACTGTTAGGTTGTAGCTTAGTTTGTAATAGCACTGATTGCATTATTGGACCTCCAAGAGCATTGTGTTTTTTATAATATTTTCTGTGCATTGAGTAATAATAATAATAATTATGATGATGATGATGATGAAGCATAACATGGCATCATTTGTGTGTTTTTCTGCTGGTGAAATATTCCCAGACGTAACCTGCCTGCCATGTTACTTAGGGTAGCCTTTAAAAATGTATTTTAAATTTCAGACCTGTTGTCTGTTTATGAGCTCTGGGCCCAGTCCCCAAGAGCTGTGCAGGCTGGTGACCCCATGGCATTTCCCTTCCAGGTAGGCTCATTTTGGGAATTGAAGCACCCATGACAGATCTTGAGAGGCGGGGGAATGCCAGCGGCTACCTGCTGTTCCCAGCCCTTTTGCCCTGAAAGTAGGAACTGAGCAGGAGGATGAAATGGATGGGCCTGTTTAGGAATCGCTCTCTTGGCCTCCTTTGAAAGCAAACACAACTTGAACCACCTGGGTATGACCATGAGGGGCATGGCAGGTGGGAGAAGAGTGGCTGCCTGGCCATCGGCAGCCCTGGAGCTGGATGCTGGGGGACCCTGCATAACCCTCAGGAGAAACAGGGCCTTGCCAGGGTGCAGGCAGAGCAGGTCAGGTCAGAGGGGTGCTTGGCCAAGTGTCCTGTCCCAGTGGCCCAAGGCGGATGCTGAGGGAGAAGCAGAAGAGCAGAACAAGTACATATGAGGCTTCTCCAGAGTCCATTCCCAGCTTGAACCAGTACAGACCTCCAGCATCCATGCTTTCCTGTGGCAAGAGGTTCTATGTTGTAACCAGGGGCTGTGCCAGAAAAGCTTAGTGGCCTCTTCTGTTACCAATTAATTCTTGTAAAGGCAGAGAACGATCAATCTCTTTGTTTTCTCATGCTGGACACAATTTCCATATCTTTCAGAACGTAACATATGATCTTCCAGAACATAATAACATGAACAGCAGTATCTTTTAAAAAGCAGTAATTTTGTCAAACCCACATGAGAAGACCCTGTGCTTCTCCTTGTCATCCCTCCAAATACAACTGTAAACTCTGAGTTAAGTCATTCTGTATGATCTCTGTCTTCTATACTGTATAGTTACTTTTATATCTTATATTTTATAATCTCTAGCATATTCCCTGGCACAAAACTCATTGTGGCCATCAGATAAGGAGGATGACCTTTGTTCAACTGAGTCTCCCAGAAATAGCTAAAAGTAAAAGTAGAGCCCTAAGCTGTAGAGGTGGCTTCAGTAAATCTGTGGAAGCATAGACTTTTGCTGGAAAGAAAGTGTAGTGAATGCTGAGAAACTATATATCTAACTCCAGCAAGCTAAACTAAATATATTTTAAAAGAGCATCTATGTAAATTTCTAAATCTGGAAAAGGCATACAGACCTTATAGAAGTCTTTGAGCTTCCCCGAGGTGGATGAGTATCCTAAATATAGGATACTCACTTCTAAGAGGAATTACAGAATTGTAATCAGTAACTCAAACAGCAGCGTCTCTTTTAGGTGCTCATCAGTAATGGGTCACTTGCAGGCTGTTGCGCAAAGCATCAATATAGGTGTATGGGCCTGACCATAATTAAGGGGGTCCTAGAGGGCGAATCTAGGGGCAGCTGGTCACGCTGGTTCTGCAGTGGCCAAAGGAGGAGCTCACTCTTCCTCCCCTATTGACAGCTGCTCAGGTACTTTCCCTCTCTTGCATCAGCTCTGGAGCTTATTATACGTCTTGACAAGGGACTTCAGTTACGTAATGCAGCAAAGACGTGGCTTTATTGAAGCTTCCCCAGTGTACTTTGATGAGTGCCAGTACTGACATAGAGAGTATTTTGATGAGTGTTAGTTCTGACACCGAGAGTATTTCGATTAGTGCTTGTGCTGACACAAGGTGGGTTCAGCACTTGCTACTGAGACCTCCTGCTTTTAGCAGCAACCAGCTGTGAGCTCACTGTGACTGAGGGGACCCCACCTCCATCAACAGTTGTCCAATGGATGCTCCCATTCAGAAAGTTATTGGCATCCCTCTTTTTGTTGCCTCTGTCGCTTGCACTTAGATACAAAGTCCTTTTTTTAACATCTGGTTCCCATTGACTCATTGACAGACTGTGTACATTTGAGGCTTTGCCAGCACCTTCTATAGCCTGATCAACTACCTTTACATCTTGGTGTATAAACCCTGGTGCATTCACATCCCTTCACAACTCAATTTTTTGCTAGATTTCAGGAGCTTTCCATTCCGTGGTTATCTCAGGACCATCTCTTGTGCTTCTAGGTAACTGAACTTTCTAAGCAAACCTGTCCAGTACCTGTCTGCAATATTTGAAAAGAGGTCTCCTTTGGACAGTGGTATTAATCTTACCCGAGTTTGACTAGAAATACATCTTCTTTGATGCATCCTGGGAGGACAGTTGTGTTTTTCAGGAAGACACCCTATTGATCTGGCAAGTCATTTTGCCGGAAACAAGTGTGGTCACATCTCTCTTCCTTATAAACCAGGCCCTCCAAACCAACATAATAGAAATTACCTCCAGTCCCTAAGTGCATAAATTTGCTGTTTGTACAATTGAATTTGATCCTATTTCTAGTATCCAGCCCTGAAGATCATCTAGCCCTTTCCTGTGGGAGTTTTTTCAACATTCTTATTCATTCCCCATGGTTTCCAACTTTGCGTTATCAGCATATTTCTTTAGAGTGCTCCTGGTTTTTGTGCCTGGGCTATTAATGCAAGTACCAAGCTGGCAGTTTGTAGGGCTGATACAGAAGGACCCATACTACCAACCTTGTCCTGTTTGGGGCTCGCTCTGGGCAGTCTGCAGTGCCTACTTGAGGAAGGGCGGCCATGGCCCTGCTGCCTGTTTAGCCAGGGCGAAACTCTGGAAAGCCAAGCAGTTGCTGCCCTGCGTGCCGCTCTGCTGTCCTTCCCCTCCTGCAGCAGCCCAGTTCACCCCTAGCCTAGGTGTTTTCGCTGTTTCAGGGAGAAACACTAATTTTTGCTTCTTCTGCTGAGAAGGCTTGTGCTCGTTGCCTCCTGTCCCATCAGTCAGCGTGCCTGTTGTCATGTTTTCTTTACCAGTACTTCATCTTTTCCAGTTTAATCACCTCTGAGGTGGGACAATATCAAATCTTTATACAGATTTCATCTAGGTTAAAATTTTGTGATCTTTGAAAATGTTTAGTGAAATTTTTGATGTAATTTGCTTGCCTAGAAAATAGCTTACAAGGGAGGGAATCTGACTAGTTCAGCGTGAAGTGTGTTGGTAAATACAACATGCATTTAACTTACATACATTTGTCTCCAATCTGATTGTTTTTTCTCTTCAGTGTTTGTTCCAAAGCCTCGTGTACTTGTGAGGCTGCGTTGGCTGTTGCCCAGAGCTGGGGGAGGTTTAGATCGGATATTAGGAAAAATTTTTTTACTGAAAGAGTGGTCAGGAATTGGAACAGGCTGCCCAGGGAGGTGGTGGAGTCACCATCACTGGAAGTGTTAAAAAACGTGTGGATGTGGCACTTTGGGACATGGTTTAGCGGGCATGGTGGTGTTGGGCTGACGCTTGGACTTGATCTTAAAGTTTTTTTCCAACCTTAATGATTCTGTGATTTTCCTCCGACATTGCTAAAGCCACCGGGCTCCGCCGTAGAGTAAGCGTGGGGGCCGGGCCCTGGTGGAGGCCTGCCCTGGCGGCCTGCGGGCAGCCTGGCACCCGCCGCCTGCCTTGGTGCCCACGCCGGGTGGAACTGGCTGTGAGCCTACGGTGTGGTGCCGCTCCTCCTACGGCCGATGGCTTTGCCTACCCGCTTAGCGTGTTCCTGAGCTCGCCATAGTGGTATCACAAGGCCATTTCATTATTGCACCATTGTGTCCTTAGGAGTCTTGCTGGAGGCCACTGCCATTTTCTGTCAGATGCAGCCTGCTACAGGAGTGACTCCCAACTGGTTTCTCATCCTTCTGCCTTTTTTTTTTTTTTTTTTTGTTTAAAGTTCACCTAACTTCCTTACTGTTTGCTTTTAGCAGCAAGTAGAAAAGTCTCTTGAATTAAAATAATGATCAGTGTCTGGTTTTGAAATCCCCTTAGTTTTTCTTGTCCTGCCTTTTGGTATTAAAAATCAATGTATCCCATGGGCTGTGTAACTCCATTGGAGGTGGTAGTTTCAGTGCTTTTTATGAACATTTTAGGAAGAGTATCCTGCATGTTTTGGCCTTTTCAAATGTAAATGTTTAATCAGTGCTTGACTGCCGAGAGGGAGTGCAAGAACACATGTGCAAGGCTTATGGTTCTTTTTTCCTTTTTGCAGTGACCTGCTGTCTTCTGAATATCTTGAGAGGCATATCGAGCAAGGTGGGAAGACAGTGGAAGTTAAAGTAAGTATTTCCTTTTTATGCTTTGCTTTTTTAATTTGCTTTGCTTTCAATGTTAATGCAGACTCAGCCGTTTTCTTGGAAGGAAGATACCTGATTTTTCAGGTGATTTGTTTCACTCTTCTGAGGCAAGCATGTTTCATGTCTTCTAACTTTTCAGCTTTTTAAATATGGCAAATAAACTTTAATGGCAACTTTAGTACATTAATGTTTATATCAAAATGGTATCCATGAAAAATGTATACATGGTAGGTTTTTTTACTAGTAAATTTACTTTTGATGCCTGTTGAAGAAAATCTTTCTGGTTTGGTAGCTAGCAGTTCCTCATTGTACTAAATCCCAAGTTTGTTGTTTTTAATGAACTGCTTTGTAAGCTTGAGAATAGCAAAATTTCTTGTATAGTATTTCCAAGTATCTAGTCACTGTCTCATGTTGTGGGTTTCTTTCTCTGGATGTTTGTTGGCATGATGGCTACAAGATCCTGTTTCTTGCAGTTGTTTTCTGTGAAATGTCCCATTGCCTTTGCAGGAGTGTTTTGTTATTTGCATATGACATGAGAGAATTTCCTTGAGGACCTTCTGTTTTTAGAACAATATTGTGTATAAGCCTGGTATAAAATTGCTGTAGATGACATAAAATATGCATGAATGTAATATGTGCTGTGCGTAACGGAAGCTCTTTAGACTTGCCTGTCAGGTCAAATTTTGTTCAAAGTTTACATTTAATTTAAAAAAAAACCCAAAAGTCTTTTATGAAATCTGAGATCACTTAAATATCCTAAAACAAATTATTTAACCTCTGCAATGTGAAAGCAGAAGTGGAAATGGAGAAAGCAATCCTTTAGCCACCGAGTAGCTGAATCCTTCAGCCACTGCGTAGCTGAAGGTACATGTTTCCTTTGGTTTATTCCTTTCTAGCATTTGCAAGGTTGACTTCTGCTTTCTTTTTACTCTCTGATAATAGTCTGCGTACATTATCAGACTGAGGCGAACGCATACATGTTCCATTAAATTGTAAAGACTAATTTCTCAGTCAGCCGTGCTCTGCAGTCACTGAGTCTTGACTCAGATTCAGAATATGAGTCAAAGCAGAAAGAAAGATAATAGCTGATATTAATAAGAACAAAGCAATCCATTCGTCTGCGTCAAGGTATATATGCAAGTTAGCTAAATGAACCGGTCTGAGTCCCATCACTGAATTAGGACAAATCTGTTTCTGATGAGTAAACCTTAATCAAGCAAGGAAATGTTTGAAATCAGTGGCTCTTCTCATGTAGGTACTGTTTAATTGCATGGGGAAGAGATGAGGGGATTGGCCCTTTCAGAGGAAGGGTCATAGAAAGTTTTCTGGGCAAAACTTCTCCCAGTCTTCAGGATCCCAGAGATTATTTCCCCTTTAGTTAGCTGCTGTGCAGGATTGTGGCGTACCTTCAGGGATGGCTATCACTGCCTCACTTAGTACTCTTAAAACTGCTTTAAGTAGAGAACCAGCATTCTTGCATTGACCTTGGTGCTCAAGATGGACTGAATTGGGAGTGAAAGGGTCTCTGGGTTGCACCTTGCTGTGCAAAGAAGGGGCATTGCTGCCCCAGTGGCACATTTCCCTCTCCACACTTCATTGCACCTCACCCTTCATTGCACCTTGCAATGGGCCATGGGGGGGCTCTTCTGCCCCCTCCTCACCAACTGCTCCAGAAGTTTGGCAGGCAGCAGGCCTACAAAAGGGTGCCAGGAACGGGGAACGTGTATTTTTTTGCTTGTTTTGCTGCAACTGAGCATCTGGGATCAGAGGAGATGGAAGCAGCTGCTGTGACAAAATGTGTTGGCCAGTTATGGCACGTTTTCAGAAAAGTTCAGATATCAAAAGATTTTTGGAAGAGTGCAGACTGGCGAGTACATTTTGATGCCAGACACTGAGTGAGGCTAATTTCAGTACCCAACAGCTGTTTAAAAATTAATCTGTCTCCTTCTGACCAGCCAGTATTTTTCAGAGCACCTGTAAGTGCCCTGGAGAGCCCTTTTGTCTGTTGAACAATTTCTGAAAAGCCCAGCAATATCCGTTTTGTTTTGCATTTGAGAAACCGAACTCTGTTTTTACATCAAATGTTTTGAAAATCTTGCTGCAAATACAATAATTTTTTGTGTATGGCCATTTAATACCTTCAGTTTCTGTGGCAACTGTTAAATTGGTTAAAGCATCTTTAAATTGGTAACTTATGACACATAGCAGGCAAAATGTAATTATTATAGTAGATTTTTGGGATTGTGCAGATTGCTTAGATACTTATTTAAAAATAGCTAGTAAAAGGGTTCAAATAAATCACAAAATATGCACTCTGCTACGCAGCACATTCTTAAGCAGAAGGAGGAGAAGAGGTGTTTCAGAAAGGAGCCAGGTTTCTATCAGTTGCTTCAACACCCCACTCTTCACCCACCCCTGTGCCATTTGTCGCCGGCTGTAGGCAGGAGCAGAGGCGGCCTGGGAACATCTCTCTTGCTGCTTCAGCGGGAGAAACGGTGGCAGAAAGAAAAAGTTCGTCTGCCATCCACTGCCAGCTGCAGGCTTTTTATACAGCAAAAGGGCCTCCTCTGTTCTTGGCCTTCTTAGTGACGTAAGGAGAGGTATATTTTAAAACACACACACACACATATATATCTCTATATATCTATCTATATCTATCTCCCCCTTGCATTTCTCAGTGCAGGAATACCGCACAACCACACAAGGCGTCAGTGCTGCTGTTGTGCCACCAGCAATCTGGGAGAAGACGGGATATTTGAATCGTGGGGGGAAGGCAGCTTTAGGTACACTCGGCCGTTTGGGGATGTTACAGGCACGAGTGTCTCTGTGAAGCAGACGCCTGCCTTGGCTCTTACCTGATGTGGAGTTAACTACTTTTGCCATGTCCCCTCCCAGTTTAACACACCCTTCTATTGTAAAATTACATTTGATTGCTGCATAATTCATTAATACGTTGGACCGTTGTGAAGGTGGAACGTTACACATGTTTTTGCAGGGTGCCAGCATTTAGCAGCTGCAGAAGAGAGCTTTCTCTGTGAGATCTTGTTGATTTGGCACAGTTGGGCAGCACCTAAGACATTCTTATTAAAACAGCAGCAGTGTGCAGTGCTTAAGAAAAACAAAAGGAGGTAGATCTTTGAATTATTTTGGTGTTCTCTTCCCCCCCTTTTAATTTAGATCATGTCTCTAACTGCTAGGAAAGCAGCAGTATTGGCCTAAATTCCCTCTGATAGCAAAGAGAATAATCAATTAATAAGAAAGAGAAAAACCCTTCGTGCATTGCCTTTTCCTGGTTGTGTCAGTCCAGATCATCCTATGCTCACAACACATAAATACTCAACTTGTGTATACTTAGTGTTGCTGCAGTATATCTCTGTGTTCTTTTATATATATCTCTCTCTTTTTTGGGCTATCTGTCACTGATGCTGTCAGTGAGATGAAAGGCAAAAAACAGCTGTAGTGCTGAGTAATTCACATTGCTGGATTTTTCTCCCTCAGAAGGAACAACTGATATCTATTCAGTGACATTTTCTCATATAAACTCTTTCAGTTTCCCTCTTTGGAGAGTGTAGAAATAAATATTTCTGCCTGTATTCCCCCAAAACATTGGACAATTCTATGAGTTCTTAGAAAATTGCTTTCTGAAAAACATTAAGGAATGAAAATAATTCAGATCCCAGTCAGAGAACTTGTGGTAGATAAATGCCATGAATTTTTGATGGCATGTTTAAATATAGCTAGAAGGAACTATATTTCATAGGTAATCCTAAAATTTTTAAGGTATAAACACAGTATGTGTATTATGGGCACAAAATTACAGCAAGAGTATTCACAGCATAAAATGACACTGCTTTTTGCTTTTACTTCACAGCACATTCATAATCATGGTGATGTTGAACAACATAAGCAGAGTAATATTAAATGCTAGGTACTGTTTTTCTCCATTGTAGTGTTGATGAAGAAGCTTTGGCCAAACTTGCCTTGTGGCTTGAGATTGCCTTGTGGCTTTGTGTCCCAGGCTGTGCTGAGCCATATTGCTGGCCCCGGTGGTGCTCAGCCACTGCCTGTGCGGCAGCAAGTGCAGGCAGCGCTGTGCCTGGTGCCTTCCTTCAAACCGCCCATGGCCGTCTTCTTGACCTGGGGTGTTCCAGCATGGCCTCATGCTCTAGCAGAGGTGCCGTCACTGCAGTTTGGGGAATGAGGGTTGTGGGGCAAATGCATTTTAATGCTGCATAGCAAAGCAGAGCCCGTAGTTTGCAAAAATAGTCATTATTTCCTTTTGTTATGTGCATTGTTTAGCTGGCAGTGTGTGCAAAATACCTGATACTGTACCTTACAGCTATTTTAATGCCGTGCACAAGAGGGGAAAAGTATTGTTCTTCATTGCCTTACTGTGATTAAAGTCTCGGCTTGTGTGTGGCATGATATGTATTTGAAGGGCTCTTTAAATGCCCTTACTTAGGAAAATAATATAGAAGGGAGAAAAATATTAAAATCTTGAAAAGCCAGAGAGGGCTGGGGACCCTTGACATGATGGATGTTGCTTTTTCTGTTAAACTCCCTCCTCCAAATCTGGTCTGCTCAAGGTGTTGTTAAGGTACAGTCCCTTGACTGAGGGCAATGTCTGTGTTTGAGACTTTATCCCAAATAACATTCCAACATTTTGCCCTGTCGCCACAGGTACGAACTGATCATAAGGCTACAACAATTTGCAGTGTAGCCAGCACACACACTGAGCCAGTGAGCATGTCATTTTAATCATTGACTGGTACGATTCCAATCTTATAGCAAGGTGCTTCCACCAGCATCTTCCAGTTTTAATGGCATCCACTGTCTGAGCTCCGTAGAAGAATCTCTTTAATTTTTCTTCAGCTTTTGATAACTCACCATTTTGTAACCAAAGAGGAAGGCGTTTCAACTTGCCAGAAAAGTTGGTATGCTAAACAGGCGTTCCTGCGAACAATTGTATTTTCTTCCTGAAA